CCTCATCTGTAGGCTCCTATTGGGTCTCGGTCTCCCCATCTGTCCGATGAGGGGGTGGGCTAGGGTCTCGGGTCAGCGGAGCCCCGCAGTCCCCAGGTAGGGGTGCCACCTGAGTTCAGGTGAGGGAGTGTGGGCTTGGGCTGGGCATCGCTGCCCCCAGGTGGCCGTCACTGGCACTGCAGCGGCCCCTGGCTCCCTCCCAGGCCCTGCGAGGGGACAGCGGGGTCCCTGGAGCGTGTGTGCTGGGGAATGCCACCCCCACGTGCCACCCACTGCCTAAGATGCCACCACCATTAACACAGCCTGTTAGGCTAAGCATTGCCCTTCAGTGCTCCTTCCCCAAGGGAAGAATATGAGAACCCCCAATGTCCTAGCTCAGCGGGTCTCAGAACAAAGGGACCGAGGACACTGACTGGGAAGGATTAAATTCAAGCTCTAGGGACACCCGCGTGGCTCAGCAGTGGAGCGTCTGCCTTTGGCTCCCGGCGTGATCCTGGGGTCCTGGAATCGAGTCCCTCATCGTACTCCCCGCAGGGACCTTGCTTCTCCCTCGGCCTGTGTCTCCGCCTCACTCTCTCTCTGTCTCATGAATAAATATTTTTTTCTTTAGATTTTTATTTATTCATGAGAGACACACAGAGAGAGGCAGAGACCAGGCCGAGGGAGAAGCAGGCTCCATGCAGGGAGCCCGACATGGGACTCGATCCCGGGTCTCTAGGATCACGCCCTGGGCCGAAGGTGGTGCTAAACCACTGAGCCACCCCGGGCTGCCCTAAAATCTTTTTTAAATAAAAGAATTAAAAATAAAATAATTTCAAGCTCTAGAGTCCCGCCTTCCCGCTTTCCCACGCCGGGACCTTCCACCACATCAGCAGGTCTCAGCTGGGAGGGGCCCCTCAGCCCCAGCCTGCCCAGGACCCCCACTCCCCGGCAGAGGGACCAGGCTGAGGAATGAAGAGGCCCTGAGGGACTCAGGACCCAAGACTTGGAAAGGGACATGGTTCCTTGATCCCCTCCCACGTCCCATCCTCTCAGCCCCCATCTGACACCCATCAGCGAGCCTCCAGGCCCCTTCTGAACCCCCAGCACCAGTACTTCCATCTGGTCCTAAGGAGAAGCACCGCCAACACCCGCCCCTGCTGGCCGCTTGGTGGCCCTCACCCCAGAAGCACCTGCCACCTGGGAATCCTGTCCCAGCCACTGGAAAATATGGTCCCAATCAGTGGCACCTGCCCCGTTTCTCAGGCTATCACCACCGTCTCACTCCCAACCTTGACGCTGCTCCTCCCGAGAACCCCCCTCCACCCCCTCTGCCAAGTCACCCTGGATTATTTTTCCAGGAAGTCTGGCCCTGAGTGTCCGAGGGACCTCGCAGCCCAGGCCCTGGGAGGCCCCATTCCAGACCCTGGAAAGCACAGAGTTGAAGGCGATGAGAATGGGGATCCCAGCGTTTTCAACACCCTCAAGTCCTCAAATTTGTTGTGGACGTGGAATCCGTAGGAAAGGAATCCTTTCTCAACCTGCACGCCACTGAGCCCCCGGCCCGGAGGAACGAGCCTCTTCTCGTCCAGGGCTCCCAGCCCAGGGCCCAGAACACTCGGGGAACACCTGCTGCCCCCCCAGCAGGGTCAGCGGTGCTGAGCAGGGTCTAACCTCTGCAGCTGCAGCCCAAGCACAGGGTCTGTGCACGGCAGGTGCTCAGCGAATGCGGGAGGGAGGGATGGCGGACCGGCCGGCTGCTAGATCCACGACGTGTCAGCACCTCACAGACTGCACAAGCAAAAGAGTCAAGTCTTTAATCAAGTTAATCCAAGGGGCCCCTGGGTGGCTCAGTGGTTGAGCATCTGCCTTTGGCTCAAGTCGTGACCAAGGGGTGCTGGGATCAAGTCCTGCGTCGGGCTCCCTGCAGGGAGCCTGCTTCTCCCTTTGCCTGTGTCTCTCATGAATAAATAAATAAAATGCTTAAAAAAAAAAAAAGAAAAAAAGTTAATCCAGGAAATCCACTCCACAAGGCTCCCCTCTGCAGATATCGACAACCTCCACTCCCACCCCATGGCGGCGTCTTTAGCTTTGGTTACCAGCACCAGAAAATCAGGTCAGCCACCCACGTGTCATAACTTAGGCAGTTTGGACCAACGGAGTCACGGCGTCCGCTGCATCAGCACCCAGCCAGCAGGGGCTGGCCACACCCACGAGGGAGCACCCACTTCGGCCCAGTTGCTCCCAGTGAGAACGCAGTTTTGTCCCTGGCTACCCCTGGGCACAGCTAGAGACGCCTCCAGGGCCCAGAGAAGGCTCCTATGAGCCACAGAACATTCCCCAAAGTCTCGCTCCGTCACTCAGCATCACAGAACCTGACAGAGGATGGGCCACAGCCAGGGCTGACGGGTCCATCCACACCGCAGCCACAGTGCTGGAGCCCACGAGACCTTTAGGGCCTGCAAGAATCTTTTGTTTCTTATAAAGTCAGCAGGGAAAGAATGAATACAATCCAGGCTCATATTACATGATACCAGCTTAGACTATATTAGCCTTTATACCTATGCAGTCCTAAAACAGGCTTTTAAATTTTTTTTAATCTAAATTAAAAATTAATTTTAATTTTTAAAAGCCCACAAAGGCCAAAGGGCCCAGTGACGTCCGGACTCCAGCTTTGTCGTAAGAACCGGACAACAGGAAAGAATAGCAGCTCCCTTATGTAGAGCTGCCAGGCACTCCCTGCAATAAGAGGCAGACGCATTTTTTAAAAAGATTTTATTTATTTATTCATGAGAGACGGAGAGAGAGAGAGAGGCAGAGACACAGGCAGAGGGAGAAGCAGGCTCCATGCAGGGAGCCCGACGCGGGACTCGATCCCGGGTCTCCAGGATCAGGCCCTAGGCTGATGGCGGCACTAAACCCCTGAGCCACCCGGGCTGCCTCACCCCCCACTTTTTTTTTTTTTTTGCCCTCATTTTATCGATGAAGGCACAGAAGCACAGAGAAGTTGAGTCATTAACACAAGGTCACACAGCCAGGAAGCGATGGCCCTGGGTTTTCCCTTCTTCAAGAGTGTGGCCCAAGAGTGGGCAAAGCACACAACTTCCCGTCTTCAGCATGTGAGGCCGATTAGGGTGACCTCGGTTCTCTCCACGTGCCATTGCTGGTACTGCCTCGCATCCAAGGCCCCGGTATAGGCCTCGAAAAGAGGAAGCGCCCCTAAAGCGGATGCTGTCTACGCCTCCAGAGCAGCTGGCTACTTCCCTCCAAAAAAGGGTCAGTTTCTCTGTGAACATTCCAAAAAGGAGAAAAGGAAAAAAAAAAAAAAAAAAAAACAATGACCTTTCCCCTTGGAACCTCACCGCTCCCGGGCCTGAGTGTTTGTGGCCATTTCTGTGTCTGGGCACATGTTTGAACGTGGGGCGCGTGGCTCTGCAGGTGGCCCTGTGCTTTATCCATATGAGATCGGTGCGTGCGTGTCTGTGGATGTGGAGGGGCGTGTGTGCGTGCGTGTCTGTCTGTCCCTGCGTGCTGGCGTAGCTACGTGCCCGTGACTGAGATGGGCGCCGGGAGGTTGGAGTGCAAACCGGCGATTTCCCACACGTAGATGCCCAGTGAGTCATTTCCCCCAGGTTGCTCAAGGGAAACTGAGGCCCAAGAGCTTGCTCAAGATGCAGGACCATCCAGCAAGCCGCTAACGGAGCCTGGTCTCCTGCTGTCCCGGCCCTGCAGCTCCCAAGGTCCGCCACGAAGCTCGGTCCGCATTTCCGTGTCCGACGGAAGTCTGCAGGCCAGGCTGACCCTTCGCAGAGCCTGGCAGCCATCTGCTCTGGGTCGGAGGTGGATCGGCAGTGGCCACTGGGCCCGCCGTCGGGACTGGCCTCTAGAATGCACCAGAAAGTTCCACGACCTGAGATGCCCAACGCCCAGGCCCCGGGACAGACCACCCCCCCTTATCCATACCCTCCCTGTCTTTATGTCTCTTTATCAAAATTTTCTTGATTTCTATATTACCAAAGTAACGCATGCTTGTTTCTGTATAAGCCACGTAAGCTAGAATCCTCCCCACCCTCAGATACCCACCGCTAACAGCAAATGTGGGGTTTTCTGAATTTCTTTATTAGGAGATAATCCCTAGGGTGAGCAGAGGGCTCGGTTCGAGGGCACGCAGGTGAGTAGGAAGAGCAGGGAGACGGGGCCAGAGTCGGCCTTCGCGCAAATGGGCTACTGCAAGGGATGGGCTGACCCCGAACTGCCGGGGCTCCGGGTGGAAATTCTGGACACGTGGGGCTTTGGAGCCACAGGGAAACCCACCACGAACCCAGATCTGTCACTTGACCCTGACATTCAAGTCATGGAGTCTGGGCTCTGGAAGGAGCCTGGGATGTATCTGGTCCCGTGCACCCACTTTAGAGGTAGGGAAACCGGGACTTTGCAGGGAGATAACTGGGCTGGCTCCGGGGAGGAATGTGGCCAGTTGGGCACCTTCCCGAGGCTCCGTGGACCTCAGCCTCCATCCACGGAAAGAAGGCAGGGGGTACCCCAAGACCAGACCATATTAGCCAAATGAGAGAGAGAGAGAAGAAGAGAGAGAAGGAAACAGGGTGCCCCCGCAGGATGAACCCCAGACTGGGGTCAGAAGTCCTGACTTCAGATCCCGGCCCTGGTGCTCCCGCTGTGTGGCCCTGGGCGATCGCCGACCCTCTGAGTCCCGGCTCCCACCTCTTTCCTGAGTGGATGAAAGTGTCTCCTTCATGTTGTCGGGACTACTGAGCGACCACAAGAAGTACCAGGCACACTGCCCGATAAATGATAACTAAACAGGACGAGTTAGGGAGAGGGGATGAGAACACGCTCCGGGCAGAGAGGCGGGGGGGTCCCCCAAACCTGCCAGCCTCAGAATGTGCTGTCTCAGGAGATGTGGGGAATCCATGCCTCTGAGCCAGCCTCATCTCCCGCCCGAATTAAACAGTAACCAGCCAAGGTCAGGGAAAAGGCCTTGTCAGAACAGGTTTCTCCCCAAGGGGCGGCTCAGCCTTGAGCGGGTGGGCCCACCCCCACGCCTGCCTATAAGTGTGTCCCCACCCGGCTCAACAGCCACTCCATCCTGAGCCAGTCCCACTTGCAGCATGTTGGGTGTCACCGTCCTTGCCGCGCTCCTGGCCTATGGTAAGCGGTGGGTCGGGGACCAGCGGCAGCAGCAGGCCGTGAGCTCAGGCTGGGTGCAGGGGGCAAGGAGAGGAACAGGGGCCCTCTGCTGTCCGGGGCCCCAGGAGAGGGGTTTTGGGGTGACCAACTGCTTGTCAGACAGGCCCTCCGCCTGCTCTCGGCAATTCTGCTTCGGTATCTGCAAAATAGGGCTGATGACATAGTAATGGCCCATCCTGGCCTCCCTCTGGGGACCATGAAGGCCTAGCCTGCCCAGGGCTGGCATCTCTCCCTCAGGGACTGATGCTTTGCTCACCCATTTGGGGGCCCATCTCCCAGACAGGAATCAAGGGGCTTAGCTTGAACATCACTTAACTCTCGGCGGGACCTTGACAAGCCACGTCACTTCTCTAAATGTCACTGGCTTTTTTGACAAAGGGGAGCACTTGATTAGGAGTCCTTCCAGCCAACAACAACAACGACGGTCATAAATAGCAACAGCAGCTCCTGTTTGTTGCATGGTTACTATGCGCCTGGCGCTGTGCGAAGCCCTTTACGTGCAGGGGCTGATTTGATCCTTGACAGGCGGGGCCTATCAACACCTCCATTTTACGGAAGAGAAACTGAGGCTCAGGGACGCTGAGGAGCTTGCCCAAGATCACATGGCTGGTTAGCGGTAGAGCCAGAATTTGAGTCCACAGCAGAGACCGCTCCCCACAGCACCCAGCTACAACGGCCTGGACCCCTGGACTCAGTGCTCTCACACCCCCACTATGGGAGCTCTAGGAAGGGACCACAGGGGAAGGAGGAAGGAGCAGGTGCAGCGGGGCGCACACGCCTCCCACCTTTTTATTTACTTCAGTGCATTAGACACTCACTCTGCTCCAGGCCCTTCACTGAACTCTGCAAGCCACACAGTAAAACCCGAGCCTATGCCCTCCCAGCCCCAAAGTCTGTGCTCTTCTCACCTGCCCCCTCCCCGCTGGGGACGCCAGCCCCTCTCACCTGTGCGCTTCCGGTCCTGAATCCTCCAGCCTCCAGCTGCGGAGTCCCCACCTTCCAGCCCAACCTATCTGCCCGAGTGGTGGGAGGAGACAACGCCAGGCCCCACAGCTGGCCCTGGCAGGTAAGCGCTGCTGCAGGGGTGGGCCGCAGGCGGGCGAGGGTGGCGGGCTCACGGTCCCGGGCTGACACGTGGCCCTCCTGCGCCTTGCCCCAGATCTCTCTCCAGTACCTCAAGAATGGCGTCTGGAAGCACACCTGCGGCGGCACCTTGATTGCCAACAACTACGTCCTCACGGCTGCCCACTGCATCAGGTGAACAGGGGGGCCCAGGGACCCCCCCATCGCCCTGGGGTGGGAGCCTGATCAGCTGCTTTTATTGAGCAGCTACTACACACTCCAGGCACTGGGCAAAATAAGCTACTCGTAGCTGTTCACGTATTCATTCAACAAGCCTTTCTTGTGCACCCGCGACGGGGCCCGGGGAACACAGGAGCGGGGACAAAGCCTGTGCTCTCGGGAGCTTACGTTCCAGCAGAAGAGCAACAGGCCGGGAAGCAAGTAAACGTACAACATATCAAGTGGCAACGAAGGATAAAAAATACAAGGGGTCCTATTTATTTATTTTTTTAAAGATTTTATTTATTCATGAGAGACACAGAGAGAGAAGCAGAGACACAGGCAGAGGGAGAAGCAGGCTCCATGCGGGGAGCCCGATGCGGGACTCGATCCCAGGACCCTGGGGTCACGCCCTAGGCCGAAGGCAGATGCTCCACCGCTGAGCCACCCAGGCGTCCCAGGGGTCCTATATTAAAAGAGGTGGCCAGCGAAAGATCTCTCCAAAAAGGGGATACTCGGGATCCCTGGGTGGCGCAGCGGTTTGGCGCCTGCCTTTGGCCCAGGGCGCGATCCTGGAGACCCAGGATCGAATCCCACGTCGGGCTCCCAGTGCATGGAGCCTGCTTCTCCCTCTGCCTGTGTCTCTGCCTCTCTCTCTGTGTGTGTGTGTGTGTGTGTGTGTGTAACTATCATAAATAAATAAATAAATAAATAAATAAATAAATAAATAAATAAATAAATAAATACAAAAAAAGGGGGATACTCGAGCAAAGACGTGAAGCAAGGAAGGGAAGGGTGTCCTGGGCAGAGGGAACAGCCAATGCAAAGACCAGGAGGAGGGAGCCTACTTGGTAGGTTTGAGAAATAACTGGGAAGCGGGTGTGGCGGGAGCTGAGTGCGTGAGGGGAGCAGGAGGTGGGTGAGAGGAATGCGAGATCACGGGGCAAGAGGGGTGCTGGCGTGGGCTAGCTCACCTGGCGGCCACCCTGGGAGGTTAGTGCAACGGGCTCCACCGTACAGATGAGGGAACTGAGGCCCAAGGCCACCCACCTAGGAATCAAGGCAGACCTGACTCCCACAGCAGGGTCCTTACCCTGTGCCCTGGGGGGCGGTCAGTGCAGAGAGACGCCCCCTTCCCCTCTGAACAATTCCCACGGTGGCCTCGGGCCTGGGTCACCGAAGCCCTGAGTCCCCTCCCTGCCCCACCGGCCGGCGAGGGCAGGCAGCCAGCCTGACCCGCACCCCTGCCCCCCCACCCCTGCTCAGCAACACCCTGACCTACCGCGTGGCCCTGGGGAAGGAAAACCTGGTCGTGGAAGATGAGGAAGGCTCCGTGTTTGCAAACGTGGAGTCCATCGTCGTCCACGAGAACTGGAACTCCTTCCTGGTGCGGTGAGTCCCCACCACCTCGCGGCCCCCGGGGGGAGCACATGGGAAGGAGGGGTCCCTAACGTGGAGCCGCAGAGCCTGCCCCCAGCCTGTCCCTGGGCCCCGTCCTCACCCTCAACAGCCGCCAGACGACCCCCTTATGCCACCTGGAACAAGGCTAAGTGGAGACGGACTCCTCTCCCATCTCCCTCGCTGGCCAAGGTTCCCAGAGTCTCCGAGCCAGGACTCCCCTTTGTGGAGCGCCTACTGCATGCCCACACTGCAATAAGCACTTTATAGGCCGAGACTTAGCTAACCCTCACGTCAGCCCTAGACAAGGAACCGGGGACTCAGAGAGGTTAAGACATAGGCCCCAGGTCACACAGCCTGGTGTGTGGCAGGAAGAGCAATCAAACCAGGTCTGTCTGGGGTCAGGTAACATGAAATACTAAACATCGCAGCTGCAAGTGCCCCTCTTGGATCTTTCCAACGGGCTCTGGCTTCGTTTCTGGCTGACACGCAGCCTGCAGTGCCTGGGAAAGCGCCTGCCTCCCGGCTGTCGAGCCCTTGCAGGCACAGGAGGCAGAGGCTTCCCCGCAGGGGAGGGCCGGGCCTTAGAAGGCAGATCCTTCGTCCCCTGCCATCGCCGGGCCCCACGGAAAGAACGGGAGGCCTGAGAGCTTCGCGGAGGACCCCTGGCCACCCCAGGCCTGGCTCCCAGCTAACTGAGCGGCCTAGCGTGGACCCCAGCCAGGGCCCTCCTACACACTCACCACCTCCACTTTGGGTTCCAGCAACGACATTGCCCTCATCAAGCTGGCGGAGCCTGTGCAGCTGAGTGACACCATCAAGTTGGCCTGCCTGCCGGAGGCGGGCTCCTTGCTGCCTCAGGACTACCCCTGCTACGTCACCGGCTGGGGCCGCCTCTGGAGTAAGTACAGTCCCCCCACCCCCCACACCCGGTGTATCATGAGAGCCTTCCTGGAGGAAGCAGCTCCCGCAAGAAGCATACCACCCACGTTTGCCCATCACTTGGCCTTTCTGTCTAAACAGCTTAACACCATTTTTTTAACTTTGTAATAATAACGGTTAATATTTATTGAGCATACACCACATGCCAGACGCTCTAACACGTGCATACAAGGGTAGAATTTGTCGAGTGCTTAGAACGGTGCTTGGGGCATCCTTGGTGCCATCTAAGTGACTACGAAATAAAATAAGCCATTGAGGGCAGGGGACTAGAGCGTACGGTACCCCCATATGCCTAAGTTAAAAGGCTGCATGCAAATAAGTGAAGGTAGGTAAGACCTAGAGGAAAATGCACGTCGGTACTCGGAAAATCTTGGGGTGAGAAAGATCCTTACCGATGTGACACCTAAGCAGAGACCCACAAGGAAATGCCTGACCATGGAAACCCCAGAATCCAAATTCAAGAGAGAACGCTGTGGTTATCCCGCGAGGGCTTTCTACAGACCAGCCTTGCCCGCCCCACCCCCGGCGCCCCCTGCCCCACCCTCAGAGGGGTCCTGACCCACACTTGGGGACCACAGGTCAAGGTCGTGCCTCTCGATTAAGGGCCGGCATGAGGTCCCCATCCAGCCCCCTGCTCCCTGAAGGCTCGGGGCCGCCTGGCTGAGTCCGGGCCCCACTCTGTCCTCCCCACCAGCCAACGGCCCCATTGCCGACGAGCTGCAGCAGGGCCTGCAGCCCATAGTGGATCACGCCACCTGCACCCAGAGAGACTGGTGGGGAACCATGGTGAAGGACACGATGGTGTGTGCCGGGGGCGACGGCATCATCTCATCTTGCAACGTGAGTGTGCAGGCCCCGCGCCCCGTCCCTACTGCAGGTGGCCGAGGGGAAGGGGGCAGTGAGGAGGGTAAAGGAGGGTGGGAGCGGGTGACCCACACGAGCAAACCCTTAACCTTTTCCCTGGTCGGGCCCAGGAGGCTTAGGGGCAAGCGGGCACCCCCAGCCCTCAGCGCCGTGGCGAGGGCGGGAGGATCCGGGCTGGAGTCCCAATCCCACCACGCGGTGGCTGCGCAGTCGCAGTCTCGGGCAGCCCGCTCACCCTCTCTGCGCCTCCACCTTCCCACCTGTAAGACGGAGACACAGCGAGCACAGGGTTGACGTGAGGACCGATCTAACAGGCATAGAAGACACTTAGGTGACATCTCTGCACATGCTCCTTCACACCACCAGCTCCATCCAGCTAGGGAGGCAGAGGACCTGGGGAGTCTGACAGAGAAACATCTAGAAGTCAGAAACTGTCCTGTTCCCAAACACACAGCCCCTCTCCCCACACCCACCTTCCCCACTGTCTCAGGCCTCTCGGGTCTCCGGCACCCTGGCCTCTCTGGGCAGCTCACAGAGCCTTATGCACGGAGACCTGAACAGCAAGGGAAACTGAGGCACAGACAGGGTATCGTTAGCCCAAGATCACGCAGCAACCTAAGAGCTAGCCTGGCACCCCCACGCCGCATCTTCTCTGCCTCCCTCGCCGCGGGGGGCTCCAGCCCAGTCCTGCCGCCCCCGCTTCCCCAGCCTGCCTCTGGGGGAGTCCCCGCGGCTGATGACCGCCTGCCCTGGCACAGGGGGACTCGGGCGGCCCGCTCAACTGCCAGGCCGAGAACGGCAGGTGGGAGGTGCGGGGCATCGTCAGCTTCGGCTCCGGCCTGGGCTGCAACACCCTCAAGAAGCCCACGGTCTACACCCGCGTGTCCGCCTACATCGACTGGATCAACAAGGTGGGTGCCTGGCTCCGGGCCCCTCTTCCCGCCCCCACCCGCCCCTATTCCCGCCCCGGGGTCGTGGGGTCACACGTCCACGTGCCCACCTGGGGAACGCTGAGTGCCGAGCTGGGTGCAGCAAGGGGCACAGTGACAGGGTCATCCATGCCTCTGCTGGTTCCAGTAGACCCGTGTGGCCGCAACCCCCCCCAGGCCCCCAGAGTGACACGTGGCCCCAGGACAGCGGGGCCAAGCCGGGCCCAGCAGGGGAGAGGGGTCAGCATGGGTGGCCTTATCCACACCTGAGGCTGGGGCACCAGAGGGTCACGAGCCTTCGTGCCGGGGGCACAGTGTGTCCTGAGCCCCATTTCCCCATGGTCGGAGGTGCCCTGGGGGCTCAGGCCCTGCAGGCAGGGACGACACTGGCTTGTCAAGACCCAGGGTGGCCTGCCGTGCCTCCCGGTCCCCTCGTCTGGCAGCATTCGCTCCCGGCAGAGCCTGGCGCTGCCCCAGAAGGGGACACACACCCCTCCCGCCGAGTCCCTCACCCTGTTCTCTGCTCTTCCAGAAAATGCAGCAGTGATTCATCGTTGGGAACCTGCCACCCCAATAAACCTGCTTCCCACTCCCCAGGCTGCCTGCATTCTTGACGTGCGCCTCCCCTGCGCGGTCCCGGGCTCGGTAGGGCTCCACGCCAGGGGTGCAAAGAGAGCCCCTCGGCCAGCCTGGTCAGGCTGTGGAGGAAGTGGGGGGTCTCCGCAAGCCACATGGTAGCCTGAGGGGGCAAGAGTTAAGGATGCGCCAGACACTTGCCCCCCAACATGTCACAAGCTGTGAACCACAGGGGCCTGATGAAATCACCCCCTTCCTGATCCTGGGGTCCTCAGGCCCCCCCAGCTGCAGGGGGGCTCCCCAGCCTAGAAAGGATGGCCACAGGGGGATGCCCGTTGCTCAGGGATGACCCCTGGCTGCTGAGAAAGAGGCACCCCCCGTCGGCCCCCGCCCCAGAGAGGCCCCAAGGCTGCTGTCAGCCTGGCCTCTCTGAGCCCTGACCTTACGCCAGCCCCGTGCTGGGCACCATGAGGCGGAGGGGGCCCCAGCGCCTCCCTCGGGGGGCACAGTTTTGGAGAAAACAGTGGGTCAGAGCTGGAAATGCTTGCACCACATGAGACAGGCAGGGAAACTGAATCCCAGAGAGAAGAAAGAGCTGGGCAAGGTCATAGGAACGGATGGCCAGGGAGTAACACGGGAGCCACAGAAGGGAGCCCTCCTGAGGCCAACAAGGGGGCAAATGGGGACAAAAGAAAGGGCGATCCGGTGTCCTAGTGGGGCCCCAGACCCCTGACCGCGGCGCTCCTGAGAAGGCTCTCCTCTGCGGGGGCGGGGGTGCGCCCACACCGGCTCTGGATCCCTGCGATGAGAGCCCCCCACTACAGCTGCCTCTGGTTGGTCCTGAGCTGTCAGGGTCCCCCCATCAGAGCATGGAAAGGAGACGCTGCAACCAGCATCAGTTGGCAGGAGGACTCCAGGATGGCTTCCTGGAGGTGGTGATGCCCAAGCTGAGTCTCAAAATTTGAATAGCAGGGTAGCCAAGGATACAAGATGCTGCTGGGGGCTGGACACGAGGTGTTTTACAGATGAGAAACTGAGGCTGGTGAGGGCTGGTGACTTTCCAGGGTGACCTAACCAGGAGGGGATGGGGCTGAGGTCCAGAGGTTGGTAATCTGGCTCCAGAACCCACGCTCTTGACCACGATGCTCTACTGCCCCACAAGAATATGAATACGGATGCGATACACGGAGCTGAGGCAGCCACTTCGTGGCCAAGAGAACCACAGACAGGAGCTCCACCATCAGCAAGCCGCAGACCCGACGCCAGCAACCTGGCTCTGAATGTGCTCTTAATGAAGAATAAATAAATAAATCCGCGTTTGTTCTAACCACCATACTCAGGTTGTCAGCTGCCTGCAGTTCAACACGCCCCTAACTGGTACCCTGGGGGATAGCATAAGGGAGGCTTTCCTGACCGAGAGAAGGGCATGAGCAGCGTCGCAGCAGCTGCTTGGAAGACATCCCTAAGCAGCAGGTGTTGCTAGAACATAAGGCGCGGGGCAGAGCTAGAGGGACCAACGGTCCTGCTGCTGAGGAGTTTGTAGGATGCGGGACTTGCAGAGCTAAGCCTGGGACAGTCCCGGGCAGACTGGGATGGCTGGCCACCCGAGCAGGCAGTGGCAAGAGGTGCAGTGGGAAGGTGGGCAAAGACCCTTCACGGCCAGCCCTGTGGCTGTGGCAGGGGACTGCAGGAACTCTATCCCGAGGGCAGTAGGGAGCCATAGAAGGGTTGTAGACAGAGAAGGGACCGCTGGCTTCACACGTGTACACAGGGCGTTCATCTGACAGCGGCATGCGGGGCGACTGGGAGCAGCCAAGAGCGGAGGCACGGAGGCCAGCTGGGACGCTACTGCAGTGACCTAGGACAGACTCAACAAGGCCCGACCTAGGCAGTGATGACAGAGGGGCTCAGCACTTCAGTAAGAATTCACTACTCATATAAGAGGCGAATATAAGGGGTGTATTGCACAGCTGCACCACCACCACCCCCCATCTCAAATCTATATAAACTCCCATGAAAAAATAATAAATAATAAATAAATAAATAAATAAATAATAAATATAAGTATTCCCATAGGTGTGATTGAATTATCAAAATTACTTTTTATTAGCTAGTAAATGATAAAACATAAGCCACGGTTCTGGGCAGCCCCGGTGGCACAGAAGTTTAGCACTGCCTGTGGCCCAGGGTATGATCCCGGAGACCCAGGATCGAGTCCCACATCAGGCTCCCTGCATGGAGCCTGCTTCTCCCTCTGCCTGTGTCTCTGCCTCTCTCTCTCTCGCTCTCGCTGAATGAATGAATACGTAAATCTTAAAAAAAAATAAAAATTAAAAAAAATAAGCCACGGTTCTGTTTGTCCAGCGAGAATGTAAAATTTTCAGACTCAGGGGACGAGAGCCACCGTTGCGTCCCCGGCCTGTCTGTGGTTGGTAGAACAGGAGCCTCCAGAGACGCCCATGTCCTGATCTCCAGAACCTGCGAATGTGTTTACCTTGTGTTGCAAAAGGGATTTTGCAGATGGGACTAATCTGTGACCTCGGGATGGGGAGATGATCCTGCGCTGCCCAGCTGAGCCCAGTGTCCTCGCAAGGGAGGCAGGAGGTCTGGCAGCAGAGGGGAGAGAAGGGTGGCAGCGGGGGGTGAGGGTCCGATGGAGGGCTGGAGATGTTTCGTTGCTGGCTTGGCAGGTGGAGGAAGGGGTCAAAACCAGGGAGGGCCGGCGGCCTCCAGAGGCTGGGAAAGGCCAGGGAAGGGGCTCGGCCCTAGAGCCTCCACACCGGGCCCGCGCAGCTGGAGCCGCTTGAGACGGACTGCGGGCCCCGGCTCTGGAGCTGTAAGGTAATTCCTCTCTGTGTTTTGATGCCGCAGCATTCGTGATCGTTGAAGCAGCAAAAGGAAATAACTACGCCATCCCTCCTCCCTTCTGGCAAAATCTAGAGTATGCTGCGGGAGTGCAGGGAGGGGGAAGGGAGGGGTGCCAGGGACCCCCTTGGGGGACAGCAAGGATCTGGGGCCTTTGTCAAGAGGTCACAAACCGATGGCTGGGAGTGAGGGAAAGCGGGCAGCGAGGCCCTGAGCCTCCCACCTCCCACCCCCAGCTGGGGGCCGAGAGCCCACGTGCCAATGACACTGAGCGCCGCTGGGAGACTCCTGCAGCCGCTGAGTGTTAAGCACCGGAGATCTCTGGCCAGTGGCCACCCCAGGGCAGCACGTGCACAGTCTCTTAATCGTCGTGACGACCCTGAGTATTATCCCCCTTTTACAGACGAGGAGATTGAGGCTCAGAGAGGTTTAAAAACCCTCCCAAGAGCACACAGCGGGTAACGGGCCTGTGTGACGAGCAACTATATTATTCTATTAACCCCAAACCTTAAGGACCCCCTCCTGTCCTGCGGCCTCCCGGCGGCCCTACCAGGGACAGGAGCCACGGGGGTGTGCGGACACGCCTCAGGGAAGGGAGTCCTGACACAGAAGACCGAGAGGACAATTATGGGCAACAGGTGCTCGCGAGCGGTTTGCACGCGGCGCATCAGCTAGGCCGGCGGGGATCACGGCGCGTGACAACCGGCCGCGCACCCGCGTGCACCGACGGCAAGCATTTCCGCTGGTCTGACAGCGTATCCGAGGTCAGCGGGGTGGGGGGTGGCTGGGTGGCCCCGAAGATTGTGGCTGACGCCACTCCCACCCAGGACTCTGCTGGGGCAGCTCGGCTCCACGTGTCTCTCACCCCCCTCCCGGGAGGACACGGCCAAAGGCGTGAATACAGGGAGCGGTGAAGAACCAGGCCCACGTCGGCCTTCCAGCCCACCCACGGTACCTCTGGCACAAATCAAGAGCACAGGAAGGCACTCACTGGGCCGGAGCTCTGAACTCCACCACCACT